CGGCAAGGGGGGGCCGGTCCCCCTGGGCAGCCGTCCGCTCACCCGGCGCAGCGGGGTGCTACAGCTCCGCCCGCGGAACGCCGGCGCTAAAGGCAAAAGTCGGCTAAAGAAACACCCGCGGCGGGTCAGCTTCACGACCCGAGTGCCGTAGCACAGACCGGCGGCACGCATCCGTGCTCCTCTATGTCACCCCTTCCAGGAGCTTCAAACGTACCGATTCTCAGCACGCGCCTTTCTGTTTATTTCAGTCGAAAACTTTTTTTTTCCCCTTTCACGTCCTGAACAGAGTAAACCTTTATTAAAAAAAAAAAAAAAAAATCACTACCAACACATCCTTGAAAAAAATAATTCAGCACAGAATACATATTTAGTAAGCAACAGCCCGTGCCAGCACGATGCCAGTGCCAGTGTAACACAGCGTCTCAACAGGAGGATGTCTGATGCACCAAACGGTGGAAGATTTTATGTCCACCAGCGCGGACGGGAGAAGGCCCGCTGCCCCGGGATGGGTCGCTGCCCAGCAGCAGCTGAAGGACTGTGCTCAGCCTGACGGCACGAATCAGGAGTCCTGAACCGTTTGTCGCCAAAACCTCCCGTTACCTATTTTCAGGAGCAGAGCCAGAGGTAAGCAGCTCTCTCTGAAAGCCAATTGTGGAGCAGAGGAAATCAGAAATTTGTTACCATAAGTGAGTTCTAGCGTCCTCGATATTAAAAGTTTTTTTAAATGCTGTTTGGACAACAGTTCATTCTGGAAAGGTATTCAGAAAAGCACTTTCTATTCAGTAAGTAGTCCCATGTTGATGTTTTCTTATTCACACATGTACAGTTTCCATTCCAAAATCATTAAAGTAACAAAATGTCCTTATTATTGGTAAAACATCAAAGCCATCCCAATCCATTTAACTCATCCCAATTTAGAAAACAATCAATCTTTCCACATTCTGTTTCAGAACAAAATTTCTGTTTGCAAATGAGCCATTCTCTAAACAGAAGAGCCCAGCTCCCTGAATCCAAGCTCCGCACTGGCTTTCTCACGTCCTTCTGAAAATAACGAAGAGTATGCACCTCTTTGCACACACACCTCGAGCAGCTCTGCCCTATTTCAGAGCGTTGTTGGGGAGATGAAGACACAGCAACAGAAATGACGTAGAGGGTGATACTGGGGTTATAGGCTGCCCGCAGCCCTTTTGCCTTCGCCTTCTTCCTGCTCAAAGAGACCGGCGCAGTGTCAAGCAGTGCTCCTTGTCTCTGGAGACACAGCTGGGAAGGGCAGGAAGAGTCAGCACAGCTGGGCTGCTCAGCATCCTACCTTACAAGCAGCATCCCAAACACTGCTAGTAGTTGCTAGTCGTGCTGGTAACCCACACGTTTAGAGTCCTCGCAGTTCCAACAGCCGTCAGCATTGGTGCTGGGAGGAAGCCTGGGGCTCACATAAATAGTTCTCAGCACTCACCAAAGAACTGCTCTACAGATTATGGGCAGCTGAAAGGCATCCACACAGCTACAGCCACTGAAATCCTCAGGGAATTATGCCCTGGCGGAGAGGACTTGAAAAACTTGTTGTCTTCATTCTCCCTAAAGATATTGTACACTGTGTGATAGCAGCTTCAGAATGCGTCATTTAACGTTATTAACAATGCGTCATTTAACATTATTAGCAATGAACTTCCTGGAGGTATTTAAAAGACGGGTAGGCGTGGTGCTCGAGGACACGGTTTGGTGGTGGACTTGGCAGTGCTAGGTTAACAGTTGGACTCGAAGATCTTAAGGGTCTTTTCCAACCTTAACGATTCTATGATTCCATGATTCTATTAACGACATAAAACCCCAAAAGGTTAAATAGTGGTTACATCCAGAGCAGCATCCCCCTGACCTCAACAAATGGCATTTTCACACTTGACTTCTCTATGGACAGCACTGTATTTGGGGACCGTGTGTCCTCCCTGTTGGTCTTGGAGATGGAAAGCTTGCGGGTGGGCGCATACGGATGTTAGCATTCTGAGAAGTGGTGCTGGGATCTTTTCAAAGTGAGCGAGGAGAGCGCGCTCTGAGCTGGGAAGAAGAGCCGACCCCGTTGGCCCTGCACGGTCTGACCTACGGGCCATGGCTCCGGGGAGACTCCGCTGTGACTTGGGAAGGTGATTTCTGTACTGTGCTCTGTGGGTGAAAACCTGTTTCAGGATCATTTAATATCTGCGCCTGGTAACAGGAATGGTTAGATTGCCGGAACGCTTACTGTTCTGGGCAGGGGGATGCATGCAAATGCCCCCCTTGGTATCGTGAACCCGTGCTTTCAGCTTTTTTATCCTCTGTATAGGATAGCACAATCCCCTTATGTTCTACCTAAATACGATCACTTGCTTCTGGCAGACGAGGCATTTAAAGACATATGTAACACAGCTTGGTACAGTGTCTCTTTTTTCTGCCAAGTCTAGCTAGCAAATCTGCCACGTCCTCTCAGCTCCACCATTGACTGTGCTTTATGCAGAAGACCTGCGTAGCTGGAGAGGCAGACATAGCATGCAGGACTCCTTTGAAATTCTGCCATATGTGATGTCTTTCCTTAAAGATACCTTCGCAGAGAGGTTCATATTGCTGCCCCCACTCCCTATTCCTCAAGACACTTTCCTCATTGCCCTGTAGGAGGGATTGCCCTACCATACTTAGCTTTCAACCTAAAGGACATTTGTAAGCAGCAGACTAAGATCTACTGGGTGGAAATACTGCACAGGTGCATGTATTGCTGCTCTTCAAGGCCAAACCGAAGTTCATGGGGAAAGGTAGGGAAATTAAGTAAGCAAACTCAATTTTAAATAACAATATGGCTTTAATCATCCCTTTTCCTTGTGCCTTCAAGACATGACATGCTCAACACTTTTGAAAACAATAAATACAGGTACAACGTTTGAGCCAAATTAACTTTTCTAACCAGCTTAGTGCTGACAGTCATGGTGCCATGTAAGCTTTGCTTCTCTCTTTTAGGGACGGACTTCTTGCTGCACTAGCAGCCAAATTGCGGGAATTTTAACCTTATCGTGCATAACTTCATATTCAGAACAGTATTTGCAACAACTGATGTATGAGCAGCATTCGTCATGTAAATATATATGCATAAACCTTCATTCTTCCAATCAGCTACAGAACTTACATAATTACGCAACTATGTATGCAAATTGCACCCTTGCCATTCAAATGAGTTTAAAAATGTCTTCACAGATAGGTAGTACGTATATAGTCTAGGTGTCACAGTAATTTCATTGCCTCTGTCCACTGTTGAAATGTGATTTATAGCTATTTTTAACAAAATAGGAGTAGAAAAATCATATGGATAAGGGTTACAACATATAAATAGAAATGATAGAAAAATAGATATATTGTACATAACCATGATACAGTATGCCTGTGTAACATCAAATCTACTGAACTTTATTTTGGCCTGCCACAATATCCGATTATTCCAGATCTAAACAGAAGCACGGGCAAAACTCAAGGAATTTAGTATCATTTCACGGTAACACGGCACAGAAGTTAAAATAGCAAAGTTTCTATGGTCTGGGATTTATGAACATGGAAAAGTATTTTTCATGCTTCTGGACTGGCAACATAGCTCTGCTGTTTAGGGTTTGAAAAAGCTCTGTGGTACCGTTTTCCCGACAGAAAAATTCCTCCTTCTCTGGATGCGCCTTTTGCCTCTCGTACAGAAGGCACACCATAGCTCAACTGGCGGAGCTACAGAGCAGAGACTCATCCAGTGCAGCTCATATCAGTTCATTCTTGAGCTATTTCTATGTATCGGAATGGTCCATTGTCATTTTCTTGTTGAATATCAGATTTTTTAAATGGGTATCAAAAAAATGCACTCATGCTGATCCTGGTCATTACATTATTTATGCTAATGAGAGGAATCAATTAGTGTTTATAAGTTTTGACATTACATATTGACATTACGTCCTCAACTAAGAGGAGACCTGGGGACAAACATAGTGAGTCCTCTCTCCTCGTGCATCAGAGGAGGTGCATGAGGTGAATCAGTGTATTTATTTCCTCTGAGCGTGGGGAAAAATGTAGATGAACATACATATAACTACAGAGCTTCAGAGCAATTCTTTAATTTTTAGGTAGACCTGTCTCTAGTTCATTATCATCCTGGTAAATACAAGGAACTTTAGTTTCAGTACTGCAGCGCTCATCTGGAATAAGGCGTGCAATTTTAGGGAAGGAAAAAAAAAGAATTCACTGATACCAGGTGAAAAGGGTTACTTTTGGATGTTAAGGAGAATGGAAAGCCTATCTCAAAACTGGAGACTAAAGGCCTGGTCTTGTTTATCCTAGCAAACAAAGGCTGGGAGAGGGTTCTGTTTGATTTGTAAAACAGAGCCAGGTAAGAAGAAGAGCTCCTTAAACGCTTGGGCATCAAAGATGCAAAAAAAGTGGGGTAAACCCATATGTTCCCACCTACGTGTCTGTGAGAACTAATAATTTCCTAATGCTTCTGCTGAAGTGAAATTGCAGAACAGGCTCCCGCAGGTCTAAGTGAGCAGGCTGGGGAAGGAAGGGAGCTGCTGAAGGGGACTGCACCTCATGGTGCCTGCAGGAGCAGAGTCTGGGCTCTGTAAGCGAGGAAAGCCTTGCAAATCTGGTAGTGGATAACTGCTTAAGTACCAGAGGAGAAGGCATTTCGTGTGGCCTGCTCTCTTTGGGGATGCCAAAAGGACAGAGACCTGAAAGAGAAATGGGTCCCAAAGATGGCTTTTCATCTTCTAGTACTTTAATGCTGCCCAGTCATATGCTGGAAAGTCTTTTCCTGGCCATAGTCCTTGCAGTATTTTTAGGAAGAACTTTCCCTTTTATTAGTCTCTGCCCAGGCACTTGGAAATGGCAGTTTCCGTTCACAGAGTTTTTCTCAGATTTACACGAGTCTGAGATAGTAGCTCGGGAGCTGGAAGACTTTGAATCCAAAGAAATCTGACTAACGGCAATGCTGCCTGCGCTCTTGGAGGAATAGGTGTAAATCATTTTGAGAAAGGCAGATTTTGTGTTTGTTTCTTGCTTGTAAATGATGATATAGCACTTTGGAAGAAAAGTGCAGCAGAGGATTCCGTAATTGGATATTAAAACAACGATGATTTCCACTGCTGGCAGGTACTTGCCAAATGTAGTTGCATAGACAGGGATAAATACAATCCACGCTATAAAGTAAATTAGCATGCCAAAGGTGATGAATTTCGCTTCATTATAGTTCTCTGGCAACTTCCTACCTTTGAAGGCAAATATGAAGCAAATGAAGGCTAAGGCAGCGATGTAGCCCAACATAATTCCAAAAGCCACAATAGAGCCCTCATTGCACTCCAGAATTATTTCTCTTGGGATTGAGAAATTTTGCTTTACAAAAGGTGTCCTAAATATTAGCCAGAAGGTGCAAATGATAACTTGAATTCCAGTGCAGGTGACCACAGTGGGAACAGGTTTATACACACATTTCAGGAAATTCTGCAGCTTGGGATCAAAGCTGAAGGCTAGTAAAATTTTTAGTGACTTTATTAAAATACATGAAATGCAGAGTGCAAAACTTATGCCAAAGAGGGCTTGCCTAGTTTTACACTTGAATTCTGTGGGCTCATCTATGAAGAAGACGGTGCTTAAAAAAATTAAGAAGTGGCTGAAGAGAATAATATAGCAGACAGTTAGACCTCCAGACGCCTTTACAACCGGTGTGTTCAAGTTTTTAGTAAATATTACACTAATTGACAAAACCAACACAACCCCAACAGCGGAGAGGAGGAGGAGGAAAATAGCAAACCAGTCGGTCCAGGCGAGGAAATGGATTGTCTTTCTGTAGCATGTGGTGCTGTTGACGGGAGCCCAGTAGGTTTTGTTGTTGCATCGGTAGCAGTCGTCCATATCTGAAAGCAGAAAAAAGGAAGATAACTTAGAAACGCGAAGTAAATAAACTGCAAAGTGGGTTATCGAGGCTTGAGATACAGGAGGAATGTGGGAAGGGATGCTAAAGGCTGCTTGCTTCCCACTGTTGCTGTCGCCGTCCAGGCGGAGGAGCTGCAGGGCTGCGGTGGCAGCGGTGGCGGTGGTGGCGGTGGTGGTGGTGGCAGCGGTGGCGGTGGTGGTGGCAGTGGTGGCAGTGGTGGTGGTGGTGGCAGCAGCAGCAGGAGCAAGGGACGACTGCCTGCCAGCAAGGAGCAGGGGCTGCCTGCAGCCAGGGGCAGGGAGAGTGAGCAGGGTCCTAAACCTGCCTTGGTCATGGCTGACGGGCGATACATAACCTGGCCAGAGCTCTGGGCAGGCAAACTTTAACTGAAACCTGGACAATGACTTGAGAGTAAATCAATTCTCTTGCAGAAATTGGAACTATGTTTCTTTCCTTTTCCTATTTCGACAAGAAAAAAGCCCAACTTTCTCTTTACAGCCAGCTTTTGAAACACAACTGCAAGAATAAACATTGCTTTAGATTATGCTTTGAAAGGTTACTTCTGCTTTAAAATTCCTATCCTCTGATATGGAGAAATTTCACAATTATTTGAATTAAAAAGATAACATTTCATTTCCTTCTGCTCTCAGGATATTAAAAGTACATTGTACCACAGTTTTCTTAATTCCATCTCTCTCCTCCATATTTAATTTTCCCCTTGAAAAAATTTTGCTGAAACCTATAAATGAACCAGTGGTAAAGCACACATCAGATTTGATACTGGAAAATATTACTGTTCAGTTATATCAAACTTCGCAGTACTCCCTGGTAAGCCAAAAAATATGCTGGTAAGCAAAATCCATAACCCTTGAACTTCGTAGACTCATAGAATGGTTTGGGCTGGAAGGGACCTTCAAAGATCACCTAGTCCAACCCCCTGCCATGGGCAGGGACACCTTGAACTAGATCAGGTTGCTCAAAGCCCCATCCAACCTGGCCATGAACATTTCCAGGAAGGGGGCATCCACAACTTCTCTGGGCAACCTGTTCCAGTGCCTCACCACCCTCATCATAAAAAATTTCTTCCTTATTGGACTGGGTGTACTGCAGAAAGACCGGCAAGCAAGGCTCTATTTTAATGAGAGTCAGTCCCACTGATAAATCAGCCAGACTTTCCATCCT